CACTTTTCTTCATAAAGTACTGTCAGAATATGTGAGCAGGTTATTGCCACGTGTCTCACAACTATGTTGCTATTGTGAATGGGATCTTTTCTCCTTTTTGTTTTCCAAATGGTTATCGCAGTACATATAATGATGCTATTAATTTTCACACATTGATATGATATTTAATACATTTTTTAAACCATCCTATTCCAATAGTATATGAGCTGATTTTCTTGTGCCTTGCAGTCTTGCAATTATATTGTCTAGAAGGGCTTTTTTTCTCAGGCTTTAAAAGGATATACTGTTGGGGCGCCTGGGTGGCTCAGTCGTTAAGCATCTGCCTTCAGCTCAGGTCATGATCCCAGGGTCCTGGGATTGAGACCCGTGTCGGGCTCCCTGCTCCGCGGGGAGCCTGCTTCTCCCTCTCCCTCTCCCCCTGCTTGTGTTCCCTCTCTCGCTGTGTCTCTCTCTGTCAAATAAATAAAATCTTTAAAAAAAAAAAAAAGGATGTACTATTTTGTTTTATTTCCAGTCTTATTTTTTTGGTCAGAACTTTTGGGAATAATAATGATGAATAATCAGAGTTAATATTGTGTGTTTTTTCTTAGACATTTTACTAAGAACATCTATAACATTTCACCATTTTAACTATAATTTTGAATGCCTGATATAGAGAAATATTAATTTTCCTATTAGCAAATATTCTTCTCTTTGGTGTTGAGTTTTAAAATCAAGAATGAATATTTTAATTTAACAAATAGTTTTCCATTTTACATGTATAATCTATTGTATTACATAATAAAACTTTTGATAGGATACATGGAACTTTACCATAGCAGTCAATTTCATGTGGAATTTTTTTATCCTAAGCTAATGCCATTGAGTGTGAAATCTTGCTCTTTAATCAGAATACTTGAGTTATTATGATGAATTTCTGCCAAGAAGTTTAAAAATACATTTTTTTAAAAATTTCAGCTCAATATTATTCTTAAAACACAGAAAATCAGCACTTTGTCACAGCTCTGGGAAGGGGCATTTAATTAATTAACATTCATTATGTTTATTTATTATTTATTTCAATAATGAGACCTACTTTAATGTATGTGTTATTCTAATACCATAGAGATGCAAAAATTAGGAAAACAGGTAGATAGAAAACTCTTTTTTTTTAATTTTTTTATTTATTTTTGAGAGAGAGAGAATGACAGAGAGAGAGAGAAGGAGAAGGGTGAGGGTCAGAGGGAGAAGCAGACTGCCTGCCGAGCAGGGAGCCCGATGCGGGACTCGATCCCGGGACTCCAGGATCATGACCTGAGCTGAAGGCAGTCGCTTAATCTTAACTGAGCCACCCAGGCGCCCTAGATAGAAAACTCTTATGATCATACTACTCAAAGACAGATATTGCTAATGTTTCCACTTTTATGTATATATTCAATTATATATTTGATATTATACTTTAAAAACTAACAATGTAATAAGAATGTTTAGTGTTACTGCAAGTTTTCTAAAACAAAAATGAAATCATTTATCTTATTATACATATTATATGTGAACATATGTTCTTATAAAAATACAAAAACCAGGGGCACCTTGCTGGCTCAGTCAGAAGAGAGTGCGGCTCTTGATCTTGGGGTCATGAGTTCAAGGCCCACGTTGGGTATAGAGATTACTAAAAATAAATAAACTTAAAAAAATACCAAAAAGAATATTGGTTAAAAAGCTATACTTCCCTTTCATTCCTCTACTTACCATCCTTCACCACCCCTCTTTTCTGTCCTTAGCCATTTTTACTTTATTATTTGGTGAGTAATCTTTAGACATTTTTTCCTATATATACACATAAGAAGATATGTTAATATAAACTGGTCTATGATATAAATCTGTTCCACAACTTTTTTAAGCCTGACATTCCTTGGTGATCCTTGAATGTTAACACATTTAGATCTAAATCATCTTTTTAATTACTACATAGTATTCTAAATTTCTGTTAGCAGATTGACTTTATAAGAGAGAAGATATTTTAAAGATTTTAATCTGATTGCTAAATAATTTTCAAAAACAGTCTCAGAAACTTGTGTACATTGTATCATAATTATGAATTACTTTCACTCCCTATTTAACCAAGTTTCATTAATCCTAGATATTTTTTTGATATGTATGCTTATATAATATCCTATGTAATTTATGTTTTCAAGCACTACTCTGAACGTTTCTATGTATCTAGATACATTTATTATTTTATCAATTACTGGGTCCTCAGCAACAATTACAGGGTCCTCTATTTATAATAATGTTAAAAATATGTTAATGTGAATTAAAAAAAAAAAACATTTTTTCATGTTGTGATTACCTGTACTGTTTTCTAGTTTAAAACTGAAAAACTATTTGCAGGTCTTGAAGGTTTATGTATCTCTCACTTTCTCATTTTTAAATTCATTTTAGGCTTACCATTCAAACTTCTGACTCCCAAATTTATATCTCCTCCCTGATTTTGTCTAACTGTCCACTTGTATACCCAACTGCCTCCCTCACATCTTAACTTGAGTGTCTAGCAGGCATTTCACACTTAATGTCTCCAAAAGCAAATTCCTGATCTTTCTCCTCCACCAAACCTGCCTCTCCCACAGTCTTCCTCATCTTCAGTTGAGGGTCTCTTCTTGCTCAATCTAGAAATTCTAAGTTACCCCTGAATTCTCTGTCTCACAACACACAGCAAGTCCTCCAGAAAATCCTTTCAAAATATATCCAAGAATTTTACTCCTACTCACCACCTCTCCTGCCACCATCATTTCTCATGGGGATCACGGCAACGGTCGCCTTACCGGACTCTCATCTCTCATTCTGGCCCCCAGTTCAGCCACTGAGCAGCCAGAATGATTGGTTTAAATTCAAGTCAGTTATCTCTTTCCTCTTCTCAAAACTTCCTGTGTATTCCCACCTGACTTGATTAAAAAGCCAAAGTTCCTAGAATAGTCTGAAAGACTGTGGTCTGATTTTAGACTCTTGAAACCTTCTGACCTTGTCTTCCACTGCTCACCTCACCCCTCTGCCTCAGCCACAGTGGTCTCACTGCTGGCTCTAGAACATCAGAAATGAACCACAGGATGGCAGACCTGCCTCCAGCTCTTTGCAATTATCATTCCCTCTGCCTGCAACACTCTTCCCCTTCTTATATATAAAGTCACATTTTTCACCTCCTTTGTGTCTTTATGTAAATAATGTCACTTTGGTGAGGTCATCTCTGAATACATTAGTTAAAACTGGCCTCTCAAATTATCTATGCCTCCTTTTCTGGTTTACTTTTCTTCTTAGGGTTGTTGACTTTTAAACTTAATTATTTTTTCTATTATCTTATTTCATCCACTACAATATAAGTTTCCTGACAGCAAGGACTTTGGTCAGTTTTGTTTACCTTTTTCTGTATCTAAAACAGAACTTGGAGCATAGAAGAAGTTTAGTAAATAATTAATGAATACATGATTCAATGAATATATTTACTCTTCTTCACCCAATGAATCCTAAATGCATGTATATTGTCATTCTAATGCTGTTTAATATTAACTCATCATTGGTTATTTAAATGAAAATTGAAACCACACAATGACAATTTTTGCCTGTAACATAAAAAAAAGAAGAAAAAGAATGATAAAACCCATGTTGATGAAGATGTAAGGAACTAGTATTGTTTTTCACTGCTTGAAGAAGTTAAGTCAAACACTTTAAAAATATGTTTCCCTATTGACCCAACCATTGAACTTTAAAAAAATTCCTAAGAATATGGGTACCTGGGTGGCTCAGTCAGTTAAGCATCCAACTCCTGATTTTGGTTCGGGTCATGATCTCAGGTCGTAAGATCAAGTGGGCTCCAGGTTCCATGCTGGGAGAGTCTCTCTCTCCCTCTCCCTCTGTCCCCCGACCCTTTCCCACTCTTTCTCTGAAAAAAAAAAAAATCTAAGAATATAATCATATTTATAAATCTTTATCATATTAGACCCAGAAAGGTTTATAATTGCAATTCGTTCGAAGCATCTGTTCAACAAAAATGACTAATAATATTTATTTCATGTTTAAGATGCAGTGTGATGCAGTTATTGAAAATGATGTGAAAAGTTAGGTGATAACGTAGAAAACACACCCATATATTGTTAAATGAACCAAAGCAAGTTATAAATCAGTATATCCAATCTTCTTTATCTATATAGTTCTTCTGAGTTTAACCTTAAAAAAGTAAAAATTTCTCTCTCACAAGGAGATTAAACAGTTAAGAAAGCACATGCTGTTATCATAATGATAATGCCTTTGATGTCAGCGGGTTTTAGTATCCTGACAAAATATATTACTTATGCTATGATTTGTTTTCTGTTTTAATTAAAATGATTGTTTACTAATAACCTTATTTCTAAGATAATTTATTTTGAGCATCAAACCCCTGGCCTTTTGCTAATCTGAACTGATACCATTTTTACAAGAATTAGTGAGAAATGCTAATGTCAGTCTATTTGTATTATAACACACTTGAGTGATCCTCATTTAAATCTCTCCATGTCTTGTTTTCCAAGACATTTCATGGTCTTGCTTTTTCCCTTCCTGATCTTTCTTTTCTCTGGCTTATTTTCTTCTTGTTTTTCTCTTATCATAAGTGTTCTTCAGCATTCCATACTTGAGCCTTTCCCTTCTTTCTCTTTCTCTCCAATGGCAATAGCAATTCATTAATTTACTCACTCATTTGTACATATGTTCTTGCAACACATATTTATTACTAAAATGTTCCAGCCACGCTAAATGTTGAAATATCATCTTGAGTAAGTCAGACTTACTGCTCTGGGCTGAATTGTGTTTCCCAAAAATTCATATATTGGGGCCCTGACCTACAGTGTGATGATGTTTGGAGATCAGGCCTGTGGATGATAATTATTAGGTTTATAAGGGGTCCTGAGGGTGGCACCTTCATGAAGGGATTAGTGCCCTTATAAGAAGACACCAGAGAGCTTGCTTCCTCTTTTTTTCTCCCCACACAGCAAAGAAAATCCATGTGAGGACAGTAAGAAGGTGCCCATTTGCAATCCAAGGAGAGAGGGATCACCAGACACCAACCCTGTTGACGTCTTGGTCTTGGACTTCCAGGCTACAGAACTGTAAGAGATAAATTCCTATTGTTGAAGTCACCCCATCTATGATATTTTGTTATTGCAGCTCAAGCTGACTAAGACAAATTTGGGTACTGAAAAGAGGAGGGTGATGCTGTGACAAGTACCTAAGCATGTAGGAAGGGCTTTGAAACTGGTTAATGGATGGAGAAGAGAAGAGTTTTGAAGCATATGCTAGGAATATGGCCATTCTGGTGAGGTCTCAGATAAACATGAGGAGCATGTTACTGAAAACTGGAGAAAGGCTATCTTTGTTATAAAGTGGCAAAGAATTTGGCTGGACTGTGTTCTAGTATTTTGTGGAAGGTAGAACTTTTGAGTGATGAAATTAGGTATTTAGCCAAGCAGATTCTTAGTAGTATGGAAAGAACAGCCTGGTTCCTCCTGACTGCTTATAGAAAAATGCTAGAAGAGAGGTGGATTGAAGAAGAAATTGTTAAACAAAAAAGAACCAGAATTTAAAGATAGGGAAAATTCTCAGCCTGTTCAAATTGCAAAAAATGAGAAAGCATGTTCAGAAGAGAACACTGAGAGGGTGGGTACCACACCTTTGATCCAGAGATTAGGGTGGGCATAACCTATGGACCTTATCAGCCATAGCCACAGAAGCCAAGAATAGAGATGGGACTGTACCAGCAGTAACAGTACTAGGCGGGACTAAAGGAAACAGAGAAAACAGAATGAAATGAAGACTGTGAACATGTACTATTCTTCAAGAAAAGGAAAGGAGTATCCTAAACGTGACTCAGAAATTATTAGGGCTGCTACTCCCACCATAGGTCCCAGGCTCATGGGATGTGAGTGTGGGTGACGGGTATGTGTCTTGGGAGGTAAGATGCTACTACTTGGGTTTCAAAGGGCAGGACCTGCACAGACAAGACCCTTGCAGAGAGCAGTGTGGGTATTGCTTCCATAAGCCATACCTGATTTAGGTGATATTTAAATGAGAAATTGGACTTTAAACTTTAGAGTTGATGCTGGAATGAGTTAAGACTTTTAGGTCTGCTGAAATGGAATAATTGAGTGCATTTTGCATGTAAGAAGGACATGAATTTTATGGGCCAGTGCCAGAAAGCCATGGACTAAATTTGTCCCTCCTCCCAAATTCGTAAGTTCCTTAAGTTACTTCAATCCCTCAAGGAATTTAAAGCCTAGTAATTATGATAGCCAACGTTACTGAGTGTTTACAATGAATGAGGCACGATTTTAAGTGCTTTACATGTCTTATATTAAATTCTCACAAAACTTAATTAGTGGGCACTAATTTTATCCTGATTTTAGAAAGGAGGGTGAAAAGGCATAGTATGACAATAGGCATATTATTACAAAAGTAATGGATTTAAATTGAAGTAGATGCTCTGAAGAAGAATTATAATGACATAAGAGAATATAATAGCAGTACTTGGTCAGAGAATGAAAAAGTCTAAAAAGAAAGTGACTTTTAACCTCGGATATGAAGCATCAGTTATTGTTAAGGACACAAAGTGGTATGAGAACAGAAGAGGGAGAACAACTTATGAAAATATCCTGAGATGGGAAGGAGAACACTGTTCTGGGAAGTAAAAAAGGCATGTGTGGGGAGACATTGAAGAGAGGTGACAAGATGCAAAACCACAGTGAAAAATCAACTATCAGATTGGAGGCCAGGATGGAAGCAGAGACCACTAAGGCGTTAGATTACGTCATCCCAGACTAGAGTCAATACTGCAGTAGCAGTGGAGATAAGTTGACTGATTTGATATTTATCTGCAAGCAGAATCTGCAAAATCTGCAAATGGACTGGCTGTGAGATGTGAGGGAAGGTAAAGAATTAAAACTGACTCTCAAGTTTCTGCCTTGAGCAATTACTTACATGGTGGGATCATTTGGTGAGAATAGAAAAGCAAAGAAAATAATATATGAATTTAATAGTTCTATCATTTCTAGAATGCTTGGTATTTGGCTAAGTAAGATACATGGTGTTTAATGCAGATTTCACATCCATTCCTCATTCATTCATTGATTTATTTCATGCTCTGTACCAGGCAGTCTGCTAGGTGTTTAGAATACAAAGGTGGAGGGCTAGACCTCACTAGGCCTGAAGCTTGGACCTGTGGTCCTGGGACTTGAGCCTCTGGCAGGAGGAAGCCACAGCTTTATTTTTGGTGTTTTAACCTCTAAAGAGGTCCAATGAAGATGTTTCTGTGAGTGAAGAAGGAAAGTGGAGTCTGCAGTCTAATTGTTATTGAAATGAACCAATGTTTTGGGGATGGAGGGCAATTGCTGGTTTTGGAGGGAGGGGAGCTGACAGAAACATCAGACAAATGAGAAAAGTGCAAGTCCATTTCCCACCCTCCTACCTTCCAGTGACCCACTAGCACCCTTCCTTCCTTCCTTCCTTCCTTCCTTCCTTCCTTCCTTCCTTCCTTCCTTCCTTCCTTCCTTCCCTTCTTCTTTCTTTTTAAATGGTGGCTTAAACAAAAAGGCCTTTATTATTGCACAAACCAGTACACTGTGAGGCAGGCAATGTTTGTTGAATCGGAGACCATACAAATTCATCAACAGCATCATATGGAACCAACTACATCCCTGAAAAAGCAAGTTCTTCCCTGAAAGCCACCAGCAGAACTCAGATGGAGTCCTCTGGACTAAAACAGAGTCGAGTCCATGTCCTAACTAGTCTCAGGGAGGGAAAAGGACTGCCAAAGGGCTCAGGCTACTCATAATTTCCTTAAGCAAATGGGATAGCACAGAGGTCTGATTCCCTGAGCACACCAGGATTGTGGGTGATGCACACTGAGCACATGCACCAGGTGGTAGAGGTAAAAATATGCTGAACCAGAAACTGGCAGTGACATAAATGTGGAAAGAACACTAGGCAGCATAATTCAGCTCTTTAAAGTTTCCCACACACCTGGAACTTATGGAGAATATCATACTCAGATGTACGAGAATGAACTCAGTTATTTATAGAAATTATCAGAGATTCAGCTGTCAAAGGTGGAATGAAGTTTATGGAGTCCCAGCTACAGAATCACAGAGAGGTTAGAAGCTTGAATTGGAGCTGAGAGATAAGAACTTAACAGCCCTCATACTGTCATGAGGCTCATACATTTATATTTTCAGTACAGAACTCTACCCCTGAACTCCAGACTTGTTTAACTGCCTACTCAGGATTCATGCTTGAATGTCTAATAAAGATCATGCATATAATATGCTCAAAACTGAACTACTTATTTTCCCATACAGCTTGCTTCTCCCACATTCTTCTCCTTCTCAGTGAAAGATCTCTTCATTCTTGTTTCTCAGGATAAAAACTTTGAATCCATTCTTGACTTCTCTTTTACTCCCCATTATAATCCATCAGAAGATCATGTTAGTTTTGTTTAAAAATATATTCAGAATGTAACCCCATCTTACTAACTCCAAGCCATCCTTATATTTTACTTGAAAAACTGAGACAGTCCCTTAATTAATCTCCCCTGCTTCTGACCTCATTCCTATCTTTCCAGAGCCAAGTAATTCTTGGCTTTTAAACATAAGTCAGAAAACTTTAGTTTTCTGCTCAAAATCCTTCAGAGACTTCTCACCTCACCATTAGCAAAAGCTAAAACACTCTTACTGATCTATAAGACCATAAATAAGCTTTCTTGCTCCATCATCCCTTTGATATCATTCCGTACTTTACTCCCTCCTCCTTAGTCCTTGTTATTTCTCCAGCATGCCAAGCACTCTCCTCCATCAAAGCTTTTGCAATTGCTGTTATCTCTGTCTCAAATGCTCTTCTCTAAGTCTTTCTAGAACAGTGTCTGGCATACATGTCACTCAATAAATATTTACTGACTGAATTGAGGAGTCAAAAACGACTTTCTCAAGAAAGTTACATTTTATCCAAGATCATAAAAATAATCAGAGTTGGGGCACTTGGGTGGCTCAGATGGTTAGGTGTCTGCCTTCAGCTCCAGTCATGATCCCAGGGTCCTGGGATTGAGACCCACATCAGGCTCTCTGCTCAACGGGGATCCTGCTTCTCCCTCTCCCTCTGCCTGCCTCTCCCCCTGCCTGTTCTCGCTCTCTCTCTGTCAAATAAATAAATAAAATCTTTTAAGAAAATAATCAGAGTAATATAGATAAAATGGGGCTGTGGGTTGATTAGGAAAAAGAGATCATGGCAGAGGAAATAGCATGTGCAAAGGTCATGAGGCAAAAGTGAACATGTTTTCCATATATTTGGGGCATGCTAGGGAGGAGAGGAGTATAAATACAGCTAGAGAGAAAAACAGAAGCACAATTATATGAAGGGATAAAATCAATATATAGAAATGCATGCTATAGTTTTCTGATTATTATTTTTATTAATTACATTATCATTTCCCAGACAACCAAGTATTAAATATTTGAGGTATCCTGTAGTCCTCCTTTTTCATCATTTAGTCATCTGGTCCTGTAGATCTGAAGATATCTCTTTCCATTTACCCTTTTCTTTTTTATTGCTACCACTGCTTCTTTAATTCAGGTTTGCATTATGTTTTCATAGACTATTTTAATAACACTGATGTTTCACTACATTTGAGTTTCCTTCTTTATCTAAAGCACACACAACAGCCTCTGGTAGATTATTTATTTTTCAAAAAAAAAATATGTTCAATTTTGTCCCCTCTAGTTCACTGAACTTCAGCAACTCTCTGTTCTTTACTATACTAAGACTCCTGATCTTGGCATTCAAATTCTATCAGCAAACATTCTCTACAGAGGCAAAAATAAACTATTGGGCCTACATCAAAATAAAGAGCTTCTGCACAGCAAAGGAAATAATCAACAAAACTAAAATACAACCTACTGAATGGAAGAAGATATTTGCAACCAACATACTTGATAAAGTATTAATATCCAAAATATATAAAGAACTTATACAACTCAACACTAAAAAAAAAATTAAAAATGGGCAATAGATACGAACAGACATTTTTCCAAAGAAAACATACAGATGGTCAACAAATAAATGAAAA